TATGAGGAATTGTTCAGAAATATAATCCAAGGCCCCCATGAATGGTTTCCTGATTTCTTATCTAGAGTAATGAGGCACTCAGGAAGTTCATTCAACCTGGCCCTCAAGGTTCGTTAGTCAAGCAATTGGCATAGGAAGGGGCAACCACTGAAACCAGAGTTGCAATAGCTCCTATGGGCAGTGAATCACTTTCTAAATGGATCTCTGTCACTAAAGAGGTGGCCCCCTGTCGGGGCCCATTCAGGCTCTAACAGCTGTCATTAACAAACTAGCAATTCACAAAAATGATGGGCCTTCCCAACCAAGATCAGATCCCATTTACTAGGGCTGTAATCAGCCAGGGCACATTGAACATACTAAGAATGGCAGCCTCCCTGGCCCCAAGTCTCCTTGACCTAGATGCAAAAAAAGGTCATCTCCCATCTGCTTAAACATTTTAAAATTATGGATGTTCCCATGTCTCTTAATTGACAAAGGGCCAATCTATACTAACAAGACATTTCAAGAAATTTGCAATGTTAGCATATACATCACTTAATTGGGATTCCCTATAGCCCTTAGACTCAAGGCATTATAGAAAGAACACACCAGAAACTATGCCAAGGCCCCGCATGATGCTTTAGAAACAATCTTGTTTGCTTTAAATTTTCTATTTCAAAATTTTCTACTGAAATAGCAGCCCATAAGCATTGGGCCCCTTTCTTGGGGTCTTCCCATCTAACTATGGTCTTATGAAAGGATCCCATAACAAATGCATGGGATGTTCCGGGGCCTCTCTTAACCATGAGTGGACAGTTTATAAACCGACAAGAAATGTTACACCAGCCACCAACCAATTGCCAAGCTCTGGAAATTGAGCCTGGAAGAAAGAAAGAGACCACCATGATCTCCCCACTGGAGTGCACACAAGACAACCTAGGTTGATATCATAGCCCTATCAGATCAAGCTCAGACCACGTCATCTGCTGGAGACCAGAGCCCTGGTACTGTCTTCTTGCTTATGTATGCAATCATAACCAGCAACTCACAGGTAAGTGCACAACAGGTAAGTATGGAGGATGAAAGGCCTCTGCCTACCGGTCTGACTAACTCAAGGCCCTGTGCTGGCCTGTTAGAGCAAAACGGACACATTTCAAAGCATGACCCATATGGGAGGAATTGCTTTGCAGATGGAGATCACTCATGAATGGCTGTCTGGGAGACAGTTCTCCTCTAGTGGAGAGCCTCTAATACCATCTAGTGGCAAAAACCCTTCAATTTTGTGAGCAAAATACTCATGCCACTGCAATTAAAAAACATGAGAGCAATCCACGCTCAAACCCCAAAGATTAAGTTTAGGGTGAGCACTAGGGCTAGGGTAAGGGCTAGAATATACATATCCATATATATAAGTCTGTATGTAAAAACACATGTGAAAATATATACAAAAACATGTATAGGTGTTTGTTTTTATATATGGATAAATTTCTTGATATGTGTATAGTAACCATTTGATTCACTCATAGGTTATGAATAATCAAATGAACATATGCATACATATGTCATTTTATACACAAAATGTAAGTTTAGATGTCAGTATATGTATGAATATTCATATAAATATATATAATTTTTAATTAAAATTGTCTCATCGTGACTATTAGTATTAGAATTATGACCAGTTAGAGGGTTGTGTTAGGTTTAGGGTTAGAAAATATATATCCATAAGTATAAGTATTTATATAAATATACATATGAAAATATGCAGGAAAATATTTATGTCACATGTGGTTCTGTATATGGAAAAATTTAGGGTAAGATCTGTGTTATGGTTTGGATGTGCAATGTTCCCCAAAAGCTCATGTGTGAGACAAGGTTCAGGGGAGAAATGATTGGATTGTAAGATCTTAACCAATCAGTGATTCAATCCCCTTATAGGGATTAACTGAGTGGTAACTGAAATGATAGGGTGTGGCTGGAGGAGGTGGAAATTGGGGTGTGGCTTTGGGTATATATTTGTATCTAGAAGTGGAGTCTCTCTGTTTCCTGGTCACCGTGATATGAGCTGCTTTCCTCCATCAACTTCTCCTGCCATGATTTCAGCTTCACCTTGAGCCCAGGGGAATGGAACTCACCTTCTATGGACTAAGGCCTCTGAAACCATGAGTCCTCAACTTTTCCTCCTCTACAATTGTTCTGGTCAGATCCTTTAGTCACAGCAGTGAAAAAGCTGACTAAAACAATCCATATCTACCATTTGGATAAAATTTAGGGCATGCATATTCCAAGGAATGTATATGAACATATATGTAAATTATATGAAAATATATATTTATGTCAATGCTGTATGAATATGCATTGAAATATGTACATTTTTGCATAAAAAGGCTTCCATGGTAGGCATTGGGTCAAGCTTTGGTCTAAGTTTAGAGCTCGCAGTAGGGTTAGGATGGTTAGAACAATCATATCTACATACATGAAATTTTGTGTGAAAATGTATGCAAACATATATACAAAAACATGTATAAGTATTTAATACACAGATGAATTTTGTGATCCATGTATAGTTACAGTTGGTATATTCACAGAATTTGAATATGCAAATGATTGTATATGAACATATATGTCATAAATCATGGAAATATAAATGTAGATGTCAACATAAGTATGTATATTATATAAATATATAAGATTTTTTCATAAAAATTGTCTCATGATGGGCTACTAGGACATAGTTAGAGGGTAGAGTTAGAGTAAGGGCAAAGGTATGGATAGTTATATCCATAAATATATACAGTCATATGAATATACATGTGAAAATATACACAAAAATTTATATCATGTGTGATTCTGTATATGGCAAAATTTAGGGTAAGATGCACAGCTACCATTTGGGTAAAATATTTTGCATGCATATACATGTGAATGTATATAACAAATATAGAAATTATATGTGAATATGTAAATACTTATGTCAATGCATGTAAATATCCATTGAAATCTATCTATTGAAATGGCTTGTATGGTACGGATTGTGTTAGGATTAAGCACTTACTTTAGGGTAGAATTAAGGTTAAGGTTAGGGTTAGAACATACATGTTCACCTATATAAATATCTGTGTGAAAATCTCTAAATCATATTGTGATATGTGTATAATTAAGGTTTGGTTTACTAGTAGGGACAAATATCCAAATGACTGTGCATAAACATAAATGCCATTTTATACATGAAAATGTAAATGTAGATGTCAATATAAGTATGAATATTTGTATAAACATACATGATACTTAATAAAAATTGTCTCATGGTGATTATAGTGTTGGGATTAAGACCTAGTTAGAATGTAGTGGTAGGGTTAGGGCAAGGGTATGGATGTTTATATGGTTTTGTATATGGAAAAACTTGGGGTAAGATGCATACTTACCGTTTGTATAAAATAAAAGTCATGAATGTGCTATTGAATGTATGTGAACATATAAACTATATGTGAATAGATCAATATTTATGTCAATGCATATATAAATATGCATTGAAAATGTACACTTTTATATAAAAAGGCTTCCATTTTAGGGATTGTATCAGGCTTAAGCACTAAGTTTAGGGGTAGCATTAGGTTTGGGGTTGGAAATACAAATTTTTGTGTGAAAATCTATACAAAAACATGTATTTGTTTTTACATACAGATAAATTTTGTGATAAGTGTATAGGTACTGTTTGTTCTATTCAAAGGATGTGAATATGCAAATAACTGTATATGAACATGTATGCCATTTTACTCATGAAAATGTAAATGTAGATGTAAATGTAAGTATAAATATTCATATAAACATGATTTTTATTAGAAGTCACTCATGGCTACTGTGTGTTTGGGTTTGAACCTTGTTAAAGGGTGGGGGTAGTGGTAGGTTTAAAGTTAGGGTGTAAACATATATATGCATAAATATGACTATTTTTATGAATATACCTGTGAAAATATAGACAAAAACATTTAAAATGTGTGGTTCTTTTTAAAAATATTTTATTAGTTGTAGGTGGACACAATACTTTTTTAAAAATAATTTTATTTATGTGGTGCCGAGGATGAAATCCAGGACCTCACACATGTGAGAGGAGAGCTCTACTGCTGAGCCACAGCCCTATCTAAAATGTGTGGTACTGAATATGAAAAAATTTAGTATAAGATGCATAGCTACTCTTTGGATGAATTATAGGGCATGCTTATGCAGATGAATGTTTATGAACATATAGGTAAATTATGTGTGAGTATATAAATATATATAAATATACTCACTCATAATTTACCTATATGTCAATGAATGTATAAATCTGTATTGAAATGTTTTATATAAAAATTATTCCATGGTGAGAGTTGTGTCAGGCTTAAGTACTAAGTTTTGAACTCATTAAGGTTACGAGATAGTTTATTTGAGGATATAAACTTGAGAACAAACATATCCACATACATGCATTTTTGTTTGAAAAATGTAAAAATCTATACAAAAACGTATAGATATTTGTCTTACATATGGATGAATTTCATGATACATGCATAGTTACAGTTTTTGGCCTACTCAAATGGTATAAACATGCAAATGACTGTATGTGAACATATACCTCATTTATATGTAGAAATGTAAATGTAGATGTCAATGTAAGTGAATATTCATATATACAGGTATGATATTTAATAAAAGTCATCTAATGACTACTGTTAGAATTTGGACCTAGTTAGAGGGTAGGGTTAGAATATACATATCCATAAACATGAATATTTATATAAATATACATGTGAAAATATACACAAGAACATTTATAACATGTGGTTCTGTATATTGAAAAAAAATGTGTATATATCCCTCTGCCCAACCAGTATAAATTCACCTGCCTGATTTTCTCAGAACTGCCTCTCTCCTCATGTGGTTATATGGGAAAAGTTTTTTCTATATGACTCTCTTCTTGGAACCTGTGGTTGAGTCCACTCAAGTTGTGTCATATGCTCACACCTACACAAAAATCAAGCTCCAGACAAATGGATTCCAGTTTATTTGAGGGGATACAAACTTGAGATCAATCACAGTGGCCATTTTCCAATAAATGTAATTGAAAAGAGAAACCCTGACCAAAGCAAGTAAGATATTTATGTAGTTAGGTTGATAACAATGTTTCTCCGGTTCTCTGATTCAAGTTCACCCTTGATACCAAGGTACACTCCATCATCAAGTTTTATAAAATACTCTTACATGTTTTTAATTCATCCCCTATTGTTAAACTAGTTGAAGTTAGGGTGCCAATGGTAATCTTTTTGTTTTTAAGCAACAGGAGCAAGTCTATGTGAGTTTGACTTTGGACATTGTTATTTTTGCTTACTAGTCCTCCTCTCTGTAGCTCAATCTCAAAACACCTAGGTGGAAATCAAATATAACAGAGGTACTTCTCATGGCACCACTTAGGTGTATGTGCTTAGATAAAAAGGTTAGCATATAAGAATATAAAGAAATGGCACTTTTCTTTTTCTGGGTCCCTGGATCCACATATATTTCTATTTTTAATTTGCTCTTTAAGAATATGTTAAACTGAGTAATCTATATATTTTAGGGGGAAAAAGACCTCACATGCAAAAGACTCATATATTCAATTGTAGTGCATTTGAAAATATTAATAAAAATAATTTCTGGTAACATCAAAATTCAAAGTGCAAGAAGAAACTGTGTTGAAAGCAAGAGGTTCTATCATCAATCTTAACTTTTTTTTCTAGTGATGGTGGAAACAAAGATAACTTATAGATGGTACTTAAAGTTCAGTGAAATTGTAAATAGAGAGCACATAACACAACATTTGACACAATACATGTACTTAAAAATGCACCCAGAACATTTATATTTCCACACTTTTAAGAGGCAGTTCTAGGTCATATTACAACTGTAGTCCTATAAACTGGTACTAATATGTTCACTCTATTCAAATAGATCTGCTGCTTAATTAGCATCCATTTATTAATATTTGACTTGTTTACCTACCAAGGATGTTTTCTATTTATTAATACCAACAGAGTAGAAGCCAGCCTCTTAAAAATCTTATAATGATGTACCAAAGAGCAATGAAAAGAAACTCTTTTCTTGCAACCCATAAACAAGAATGAAACAAGATTATAAATTTATTCCATAGTTAAGATTTTCATTTTGAAAGTCATACTATTCTTTCTGCATAAGCAACCTGAAGAATTGAATATATTTATTAGATCAAAGAATATGTGATGGATTAAATGATATGATGTAAAGCAACAAAGTTCCAGTCCCACTTGCAAGTAAAACAGAAATTTCTACCAGCATTTCCAACTGGACGGTTGCCCTAACAGCTTTGTGTTTCATTCGGGTTGGCATTCTCTGAAATTATGGTGACCCATGTGGCTACTCAAATATTTTCTGAGCTATGTACTTCTCAAAGTGTACTGGTTTCTTGCCCTGGCTACCTCCAAACAGAATATCCTGTGCTTCTTACAGTACATGCAGACACTGCCTTGTCCCATTGCATGAAGTGATGTGTCCCCATTTAACTAGTGTCTGGGACCCATAGTAAACACTGTTTGGATTTTAAGAGATCATCAATCTTATTTGAAAAAAAGGTAGACTGCATTTCTTGTGGAGAGTTTGAAACCCAAGAATTTGTCCTCGTGTCTCCTCCTTTTGTAGGACTCAAACATTTTTACATTTTAACAACTGTCTCCTCAAAGCTCAGGTATGGCATCCCTGTCTATTAGTAAAACAAGGCTGGGAAAAGCAGGCCATGTATTATAGGGATTGATCACACTGAGCTGGAAGTGTCAACCTAGGCATAACAGGGAGCAGTGCAGGCACTTTACCCCCATTACAACTACTTGTCTCTTTCCAGTTGGAGTCACTTTTGAGAATTACAATGAAAGAAATTATCCATCAAATTAGTATTGGACAGAAGTATCATTATCATCTAGTTTTACTGTTCCTTGGAGTACTATCTAGCTTTTATTGCCTCTTTGAGGCAGGAAGAACTTATTTTTTATTAAATTTTAGGCACTTGAATAAAAATTCTCTCACTTAGATATTTAAATATTTAACACACACATGTGTAAACACAGGTGCATGCGCAAGCATGTGTATACACACACACACACACACACACACACACACACACACACACAGTACTAGACTGATTTGTAATGCTAAACCAAACAAATAAGGTTCTCATCTTTATGGAATACTTAAAAAGGAAGTATAAGCAAATACCCTATAGAGAAGGGTTTTCATGCATGAAAAAAATTATCTTTTTGTCTGGTCTTAAAAATTAGACAATGTGAGATAACAATGTTATTTAATTCATTTAACAAATAGCCAATGCATACAAATCAATGTTAAATTGTAGCAAACAACCAACAAACCCCATATAGTAAATTACACTTGAGGTCATTTCATTCCTTAATTTACTCTAGGTTTGAATAAATTTATCACCTAATCGTCCTTTTTATTTCTAGGTACCTTCTAAGCAACGTTGATTTGCCCCCATCTTCTTTTGCTAAGTGTCCTTGGATATAACTGGGAGCACTTTCTAAGAACCTATTTCTCAATTCTATTTCCCAGGGAGTCCTCACACAAACACACATGATCCTTCTAATGCAACTCGGCTCAACGTTTTGTCAGGATCAGGTCTTTGACTTACCAGATCATTTCCTGATATTAATATCCACCCCTCACCCCTTTTTTCCCCTAATTCCTGAGAAGCAACTTGGACACATGGTGGTAGAATGAGTTTATTTCTTTACTGTGGCCTGTTTGACCTTCTTCATATGTAAACAACCAATACAATTAACACAGAAAGGCGATTTTTATTATTCCTTATTATGACCAACTGGAAGCAGCTATGTGTCTGTGTACACCAAATGTAGTATCAATTTTACTCTCCAATCCTAAATTAACCCTTTAGATAAGGGTTTTCATGCAAGGATAAACTGTGCCAGAGGTTGTGTTATATTGCCTCACAGAGACAACATGCAATTTTGTAAACATTGTAGCACTCACAATAGGGCCAATAATTCTCAAATACTTGGCTTGCCTTGAAATTTGTTTCTAGCCATAGTTGCTTCCACATCATAATCTTAGGACTTGTAATGAACTATTTTTGTACAACCTTTCCCGCTAAAGTCAACCTTTCTCTCTAAGGCTAACAATAATCTCTCTAAGGTCTAAGACCAATATGTGGTCTTAATTCCCTTTCATTATAATATCTGATCTCAAACTCACTTTTTGTGTCTAGTCCTGTTCTTTCTCTGCACATTTCCCTCCCCTATAGATTCAGAGAAAAGAAAGAATACAATGGAAGTAAAAAGAAGAATGAAGATTCCCTTGATGACATCGAAAGATCCAAATTTTAGCCTAACTCGCTGGTAGATGAGGTTTCCTTCCTGTTTTCTTGTTTTGTTTCCTTTTACTTTTCATTATCTTTATTTTGTAAGCTGAGGTCGAAGACCATACTCCATTCCAAAGACAAACACAGACATAGTACCTTTCTGTCTAAATGGCTACAGAGTGTCACAAGAAGTCCTCAGAAACAAAGGCACTGCTATGTAGATGCTGACTGCACCATAGGCAGGTGAAAAGGTCACCACATGCCAAATCCATGGTTTGCCTTCCTTTATCCCTGAGAAAGGAACAATGGCATGACTGGGATCTGGGATCTTTACAGCTACCCTATGGAGTAGGCAAATAAGTTGTTTTGAGCCAAATTATGCCCATTTTCCAATGAGGACACTTAATACTTCTCAAACATGTGAGAATTTTCAGACCCAAATGTAGTGAATGATATGATGACAAGTGACCTTAGAAGTGAGTTTGTCACTTGTTTCATTTGAATGTGAAAAATAACTTTATAATTTTTAAAGTGATTTAAAAATTATTTGTAGGGCTGGGGCTGTAGCTCAGAGGTAAAGTGCTTGCTTCTCATGTGTGAGGCACTGGGTTCAATCCTCAACACCACATAAAAATAAATAAAAATACTGTGTTTCCATCTACAACTAAAAAATATTTTAAATAAATTATTTATAGCTTTGTAAGAAATAACTTGCTTCAAGGCCATTTCAGTTTTCTCATCCACAAAGTGAAAATAAAACACTAAGGCTCATAGGTTTTCTGATACTGCTAGTTAGAGAAAAAGGCAGGGCTAAGAATCTGAGGGACAATGATTTGCTCAGCTCATGCTCAGGAGGGGGATGGCAATGGGACATTATTCTTTAGGCTCAATGGTAAACCCTGTTTAAAAGGTTTCCTGAGATTGGAACCACTGTGTCATGCTCACTGACTTAACTGTGGCATTTGACAGAGACCAGGCAAGAGGGTTGTGAGCTACAGAATCGTCAAAGTCCTGATCCTTACACCAACAAAGTATCTGAGCACTGCTGAGCCTCACCACTGGCCATGCTACTTTTCCCTCATGGATCACAGTGATCATCTGACTGACACTCCACTCTTTCACATGAGTGGTTTAGTGATCAACTTTGGCCCAGTACCAAGAGACCACAGGGTTGGGCAGAGGAGTCCTTGGATTCTAGGCTTGGTTCAAGGGGACACTTCTCAGTGGCAGGATCCTCCAATACCCCTGTGGGCCAGGCCAAATTCCAAGGGTGCTAGGGTAGACAGTGGCTCTACTAATCCTCACCATCCAGGGAGCAGATGGTTAGAGGAGCAGTGTTGTTTGCACAAATGCTGTAGCAAGGACTAAAATAGGGCAGGAGGCGTCCAGGGAAGGGATGAGGGGGGAAAGTGAAAATGTGGGAGCCATTGTCAGTCACATTATAGAAGGAGATATCATGGGCCTCATAATCTAGGAAGACCCCCACGCGGCGAGGAGGAACTGGCAAGGACAGAAGCAGGTAATTATCAGTGCCTGCCCGGTACTCAGTTCCCTTCCTCAGCCTTATCACCCAGAATCCATACTGGGGGGATAAATAGACTATCTCCTTCCGGTCTACATTTTCTGTACACACTCCAAGACCCCATTCAGACCTCTCTCCCACCTCTACCTCCCAGTAGTGCCGGCCTGAGGAGATGCACTGGCTGCCAAGGACAATATTATAGCGGTAAAATCTTTCAGGATTGTCAGGGAGTTCCTGTTGAATGTCTCCATAGTGCACACATTTTCTGTCCTCTGACACGATCAGTCGGAAGTAAGCAGTATCTGGATCCAGGCGCACATCAGCTAGGGAAAAAGATCCTGGTTGGTTACACTAATACAGAGCAAGGGCCACCAGGGAGATTTCTCTGATAAATCCAGCCACCGATTTCTCACTGATGGGCATCTAGAGGGCAATGAGTTATTTCACTTCTGTAGGAGGGAGGGATCCCTCAAACTGCTATCCCAATCATCCCAGCATCCATTACCTGCATATGTCTTCAGGATCTCTCTCAGCCCCAGGACACGGCAATCTGTCTTCAGTTCCAGGGAGACTGGTTCTGGCTGCTGCAGGCTCCAAGACTTGCTCCTGGTAGAGGAGGGCTAATGTTGGGGCCAAGAATTCTGGCTCTGCCATATGAGCCTTTCCTTAGAATATGGAAGAAGGGCATGGCCAGGGATAGTCAGCAAGGTGCCCCTCCTTAGCAAAGCAGAGATGTGATGATGATTTGGCTGAGTCTCAAACTAAGACATAGAAATGAAAACTCTCAGATCTCCATGCTGTGGAAAAGTTTGGGTATGTATTTGACACCAGAAGAGGAAAAAGTGTCCTGCAAAGGAGAAAGGCTGGAACCTCTATGCAGTCTTTTCCTGCCCTTGGGTGATTTACTGGAAACCACCTATTTTATAAACTTTACCTAAAATTCTCATTGGTAATACCTGAAATGAATTCGATCAAGTACCAAGAAGAAAAAGGAAATATCAACAATTTTTCTTTAGCCAATATAAGGGAAGAGGGAAGAGATTATGGATCAGTGTCTACTTTCTGTTGCGTCATTTTCTTTTCCCATTTGTGGGTCTGGCTTCTCTATCCTCTAAAAGGCTGCCTAGAGGCTCCAAGGATGGGAACATACCTGTTTAAGACTTCCTGAATACCCTAGAAGGAGAAAAAAAAAATGCAGCACATGAGTGCTTTGGAGGGAACAGACAAAACACTGAACTCTGGAAGGGGTTTCTCAGAGTGAAATGGAGAAAAGCTGAGCAGTGCTATAGCAGGAGAACCTGTGAGAGGGCAGCAGAGCAGAGTTGGCTGCATTGGCCAACATTAGGCTCCATCCAAGATTCCCAGTGTGGAGGGCAGGAACTGGAATGATGCCAAGCTGCCTGAGTACCTGCTGACCTATTCCTGGTTTGGAGAATGAGCTGGTCTATGGAACTACCACCTAACCAGGGAAAGGAGAACAGCATGTATTAGTTAGGGACACACAGGGTCCCTAACTGGCAGGCAGAGTGCTGACAGGCTGCATGGAAGACCAGGTAATCCTCTCTCTTGGAATCTCAGTCTATCTTCTGCTCTCACTTAGGCCTCCCAAGAAAAGGTGGTACTCACCTGCAGCATCCAACGGACAGGTCTCTGATACCTCTCTTCCAACTCTGCAGCCATCTTCCATAAGACCTGGCTCTGCTGTCTGAGCTCCTCGTGATTCAACTCCAGCTTATGCACAGTCTCTCCTTTCTCCTGTTCTAGACTGGCCAGAGCTGCAGCTTCCTCCACCTCTAGCTGCCGACCCGGTGGCTGTTGATTATTTAGTAATTGACGATACTTCTCAAACTCCTGCATGATACTTTGCTTTCGGATTTCCACCTGTATCTATGGAGCCAAGATTGGAATCAGCACTGATATTTTTTTTGGTATAAGGGTCATTCTGAATTGGGGACACTGACAGGTGTGTATGCATATACTGTGGAATGTTTGGTACAACCAAGTACTAGGCACCGTAGAGACAAAGATAAAGGATACTAACTGTTCCTACCTTTATTCTTCCACAGCTTCAGGGCATTCTTCTGGGTCTCTTTTATATGTTGAATATCCTTTATCTGAAATACCTGGTACCTGGTACAAAGGTGTTTTAGATTTGGGATCTTTTTGAATTTTGGAGTATTTTCTTATATGTAAAGTGATATTTTGGGAATTGGACCCAAATTTAAACAAAAACATTCATTTATGTCTCATATATACCTTATACACATAGCATGAAGGTAATTTTATATAATAATTTTTAATGTTCTTATATTTTGAATGCAATCCATCATGTTGGTGTTCAAAAAATTTTGGATATTAGTACACTTTGGATTTCAGATTTTTTAGATAAGGGGTATTCAACTTGTACCACTATTATTGACCCCAGTAGGATCCATGATACTATACTAGTACCATAAGAGCTAGAATATTTTCCATTTTCAGAATAATAACCAGATATACTTGCTAAAGCAGTGTAAATGAACTATACAGATAGATGGTGTTTCCTCTTGCTGGTGTTATACCTGTTCAATGTAGTACTTTAGATCACTTTCTTGATCAACCTTTCTGACAGTTTCATATTTATCAGCTTCAAGTGTATGTCAGAGATTATTTTCTGATATTTTAATAATTGAACTCATAGTAACTATTCTTTAACTGGGAAAGTGAAATGGAAACTAAGATTTACTAGCATTAGACAAGCCACACTACCATGAGCTACCATGTATATGAGGCACATACTTTTCCTTTCTAATACATGAGGGCATGAGATCAGAGGTATCCCTAATCATAATCAAGCAATGGGTGGAAAAGCCTATGGCCTGAGGTAAAAGGAAAGCTGGTATTGGGATTCTAGGCTCTCTGACTTCAAGCCCCACATTCTGCTACACAAAGATGAGAAGCACCATAGCCAGCTCCAGAACAACATGGGGATGACAGCAACCTACCTTCCAAAGGGCAGTTCGTTTCTTCTCATTAACTACCAGCTTCCAGGCCTCCTCTTGTTCTTTCTTCAGATGTTCCAGAGCCTTGTGGAGTTTCCACTGTAAGAGATAAATAAAGAAACTGTTAAAGCCACCTCACACTGATTAAAAAAAAAAACAAAAAAAGATTTTAACACTGGAAGGTAATGGGAAAACCAGTGAACCTCAGACAGCAAGAATCTGAATAGATGCTGGGAGAAAAAGGAATGCCATAGAAGGAGTGGACCTGGCTAGATGACATGCAGTGTAGCTCTCTGAGCTAAAAATCACTTCAATTCCCACAATGCCTAAGTGTCTATAAAGTAGAAGAAAAGGCCCATTATAACTTTTCTAGAAAAAAAATCCTGGATTTTCCCATTCATGCCTAATTTTATTCTTATCTGTCTTGTTATTCTATGGTATCCCAGAACCCTGCTACTCAAAGTGTGGTCTAGAGTCAACAATACCAGCATTCCTTGGATGGTTGTTAGAAATGCAGACTCTTGTGCTGCATCACATACCTTTCAAATGGGAATCTGAACTTCAGCAAGATCGCTGAGTGATTCGTATGCACATAAAGGGCAAGAAGCTCTTTCTTAGAACAGTAATACAAGGGATTTCTACTGGAAAGAATTAAGTATTTTAATATGAGTTTAAATTCTGATGATTTTGTTAAAGATTTACCAAATGCCACATATGGCTTAAGCACCAAACATGCACTAATACTTTGGCATTATCCCCATTTTATAAATAAGAAAACTGAGGTTAATCCGAAGTCATCCAGCTAATAAATGGCTGGGCTGGGATTTAGCTCAGCTCTTAATTCCTATGTTATAGTGTTATACCTCATTCTTATGCTAATATTCTCAAAAAGAAAGAAAAAGGAAAAGAAAGTGTATACTTCCGATGTTTTAGAAATTCTTCCCAGATAGAAAAAAATAAATGGTTCTGATAAAGATTCATCAGCATAGGCCTGAGAGAAGAGCAAGGAGCAGCCTGGAGGCTGGAAGCTGACAAGGGTGCCTACAAAAAAGGAGCAGATGTGACAGAGGTGACTCCAGCCCCATACATAAGTTAAACAATAGGAGCTGGGAAATGAGAAAGAATCCTGGTCAAAGAGCAAACAACCAATGACTAGCCTTTGATCTTCCTTTAACTAACTTAAAGTCAGAAAGGATCTGAAAACAGATGCTGTGAGCATTAATACATATTAAGTGCTTAAACCAAAACTGGCACTGGTAAATCCGTTCTAAGTGTTGTCTTACCATGGTTCTTTTCAGCTCTAAAATCAACTATTAAGATCCTAAATTTCTAAGCTTCATTTTTGTCTATAAAATGAAGGAGTTAAAGTGATTCACTCAATTTCAAGTGATTTCTTGTGGCACTGCTAGAAGTTTACAGATTCTGATAACTGTAGCTGTGACTACTAAATAATAGCCTCCTATCTAAACTCACCCAAGCCACACAGAACTGAAGTTAAAGGTATCCTTCAAACTATCAGTATTGAAAATATACTTGTTTGGACATTAAGCCATGTTGGGCTTGGGGTAGGAAGTGGAAGAAGTGGGAGGGAAGAAAATCAAAGAAGTTCATGAATACAAGGAAAGTTCAATGTACCAGATTCTAGGGAACTGTGGGTGGATGTCAGGAGCCAAAGGAATTGGCTCTCAGTCTCTTGGGCTGGCCCTTGTTGTGGAGATGGCCAAATGAGGGGCCAGTCAGATCTGTGATATGGAATGGCCAGGCTCTATCTCCCACCTTGTACTCCCAGGCAACATCCTTCATGGGCAGGACATTGTGGGCTTCATGCTCTGGGGACTGGCTGCAGGCCTCACACATAATCAGTCCATCCTCTTTGCAGAACATTTTTATCTCTTCCCTGTGGAGCTCACACACATCGCCTTTCAGCTCCATTCCTGGACAAAGCTGTAACAAACGAACTTTTTCTGCAACACTGGCCAGCTGCCAATTAGGACGCAGGTTTCTTAGCTGGATAGGAGCTCGACAAAGGGGACAGGTGTAATCCCAGTTTTCAGATTCTGCTGGGACTTGCCAGAGTCCAAAGAGACAGCTATGGCAGAAGGTGTGGCCACAATCAATGCTCACAGGCTCCTTCAGAAAGCTCATGCAGATGGGACAGGCCACTTCTTCCATAATGGCTTCCACCAAGGCTATGAGATCCATGGTTCCTTCTCATGTCCTCCTCAGAACATGAATAAAACTTGAATAAAACTAGGGAGAAGTACTGAAACCTACAAGAATAAAAGAAAAACAATTAAGAGAAAAAGGTAAAAGAAGAACAGAGAGATCAATAAAAATGATAAGTGACCAAAAAAGATCTCTTTCCTTTGGATCCTTTACTGACTTTATTTAACTTCTCAGCTGGAGTTCTGACTAGGCCACATTACTCATATCACATTAGGGATAGGTAGGGATGTCTTAGCTGATGGAATTTGTGAGTTCTCAGTTTTCGTTCATTTGATCAACTTTGGTTCTTCTCTGGGTTTTGTACTATTAGACCATCTCACTGCAGTCATGCTCTATACAGCAGCAGTTTCTCTTGAAGTTGGGTAAGAACACATAATATGTGGTATTTCAGTTGTCAGAGTAAGATCATAAATACTTCCAGCCTCACTCTGGTCTGTCTGTGTGTACATTTATATACTTCAAGGTGCAAAAGGCCTATGTTGGAAGCCCATTGCTTTTATGCATAATTTGTTTTCTTATGCTGCACACTTTGAGAGGCCTTGGGTTTGATCCTCAGCACCACATAAAAATAAATAAAATAAAGGTATTGTGTCCAACTACAATTAAAAAATAAATATTTTAAAAAATATATAAGAAAAACAGTAGTTCTTTCCTTCTGCCCTGTGAATCCCTGCACTAACATACCTTTTCATTCACTAACACGCCAAGACTCAACCTTTTGTTTTTTATAACTCTTTAATTTGTTTCAATTAGCTATACATGACAGTAGACTGATAAAGCCATCATTACAGGAAAAAAACAACAACAAAACCCTGCGATTTTTTCCAGGGCCACATATGGATATGGAACTTGCATGGTCAATATTGGGTAGGCTCTTGGCTCACTGGGCATTATTTATTTACTTTGCAAGTTTGTGTTATGCGATAAAGTCTGTAAAAGGAA